TCTTATAAATAGAATTTATACTTTTCTAGGTTAATAAGTAAGTTATTTTCTTATAGCGTCTGTAGGACTTAGTAAATGTACTGTTTATATTTTTCTAAGGTTTTAAAGTAGATAAAAATATTGTTTATGTAGGCGATAGTGAATTTTTTTAAATAGGGTTTAAGTATATAGTTGATTTTTTTTTAGAAAGATACTAGGGCGTTAGTAAGTCTTTAGGATATAATCTGAAATTTATAAAATTCTCCTAGTATACTAAAGGCTGTTTTCTATTTATATCCTTTCTTTATTTTAATAAGATTATAGGCTCCAGTAAGGTTTAATAAAGTAAACTATTTGCTTTTTTATAGTTTATTTTTTATTTCTGTAATTAGGGGTAGTAGTGTTTTATTTTTAATAATAATACTGTTTAGCTGTCTGTAGTTAATAATTAATTAGAGTTTATTGTTTTTTTTTAAAATAAATAGAATAGGGTATTTTACGGGTGATTTAGAGATCCTAATATATTTTTTCTTTTTTTATTCTTTAATTTATTCCTTAAGGGTTTTAAGCTTAAGTTAATTAAAGTTATATAAAGGGAAATGCTTTAGGGTAGTCCTTTTTTTTAATTTAATCTTATAATCCCATTCAGTGTATAGTAGTAGTTTAGTTTTTCTGTTTTTATTCTTTAATGTTTTCTAAAATAGGCTTTTATACTTTTAATATTATTTAGGGATCTTTCCTAATAGGTTAATGATTTTTTTTAGTATATTTTTAATTGTCTTAAGGTATTTATTGATTATTATAAGTTCTCGTTATATTTAGGTAATTTGTTTATGGGATTTTACCTTTATATTTTTTATTTATTTATTTTAATATTAAAGCACTGTATTTTTAGGCTTAAAGAGTTAAGGTTTCTGGCTTCCTCTGTCCTCTTTCTGTATTAAAGTTCTTTTATTATTGCGCTAACGAATTTAGCCTATGCTTTATTATATATTGGGTTTATATTTACTTAACTATAGTATTTTTAAGATAATATTATACTTTAGCGTATTTATAATATTATATATAATTGGAGTTTTGCGGTTTATAATTTTAAAGTATAGGTAATTAGTCTATCTTTTAATCTATTTATTATTATAATTAAAGGGTTGTCCTTTAGTATAATATAACTTATACTTTTTCTTTTTATATTTTTATAGTAACTGTAGGTAAATTACAGTTTTTACAAAAATATAATTACTATCCGCTCCAGTATTTATTATTATTATAAGCGTTTTTTTATTTAGTAATACCTTAATAATAATTTTTTTTATTTTAGTATTTTATTTTTTTTTATTACTATTATAATTATATTTTTTATTAAAGGTTATAAAGTATTATTAAGTCTTTTAGTACTTTTTTATAAGAGATAGTTCTTATTTTTTAAATACTAGTCTTTAATCTTACTGTATATATATTATTTATATTTTTTATTTTTACAGTTTTTCCAGTTTAAATTTTTAAAGCTATAGTAAAATTTTATTTATTATATATAAATTCTACAGTTTACTATATTATATTCCTTATTAAAGGTTTTTTAAAGTTTATAAAGTAGTATTAATTGTTTATCTATTGCTCTTTTATAAGTCTTAAAGTTAAATCCTTAATATATTAAGACTTATATAAGGTCTTATTTAATAATCTTTCTGTTATTTTATTAATCTTTATGCTATTTATTTAGTTTTTTATCCCTGTACTAAATATAAGTTATTTTAAAGTAGCTGCTGTATTAATTAATATAGTAGTTTATTATTTTTTCTCTTTAGTTATACTATTTAAGTATTTTTCCTATTTTATAAAGTTTACAGTAATGGCTAAAATATAAATCTAAGGTTCTACTGTTTATATATTCTTTTAGCGAAGTGGGGTAAGGTTTAAGGATAGTAATCCTTAAGTTTTAATTTTTATAGATAACTTCTTATTTCTGGTGTTAGTAAGATTAGTATATTTTGTTAACTGGGTAGTTATAAATTTTCTAGGGGTAGCTATTATATTTTGCTTTCTGCTTAAAGTATTATATATATTAATTATTTATACAGTTAATTTAATATACTTTTTTATAAAGTTAATAATTAAGGTTAACTTAAGGGTAGTTTCCTTAAGTGTATTAATATACTCTATATATTTTAAAAATTTCGTTAGTGTTATAAACGTAGATAATTCTATATTTATTATTATATAGGTGCTATTCTTTAAGTTGTTTAAAGAAGTTTTTTTTAAAGTCTTTTCCTTTAAGGTATAGTTTTAATTATATTTAGCTTCTAGTGTATACATCCAATTATATTTAAAATTTATTAATTTTTTTAACTTTTAGTAATTTATATTTAAGGTTAATAATATTTATAATATATTAAAAAGCTAGGGGTATTCTATAGTTTTATAGGTCCCCTCTATAATTATCCTTCTAAATATTAGTTTCTTTAGGTATTTCTATATTTAAGATAGTATTTTCTAATTTAGGGTTGGAGTTTTTATAGGTAAAGCTATCTATTTATTATAAAAGTGCTATTACTTAGCTTTTTTTTTCTATAAAATAAACTTTTTTTTTAAGTTTAGGGATTTTATCTTTTCTTTTATTTTTCTTTAAGGCTCTATAGTTTTTAGCTATATAACTTAGCTTACTGCAGTTATAGTATTTAAAGTTTTTTTTCTTTTATATAGTGTTAAAGTCTATTTTTTTTAGTTTACTATTATTATCTTTAGTAATATAGTTTTATTACTTTTTACCTTAGTTTATTTAATATTTGTTTTTTTTATATACTTTTTTAAAGATATTTATTTTTAATTTATAAAGTAGGTTATTAGCTTTAATATATTTATTTATAAATAACGTAAAGTTATACTTAAACTGGTTAAGGTTGTATACTTTTTTTTTAAGTTCAGGTTTAAGTCCATCATAGAATTATTTAATAAAGGCTAATTCTCCCTATTTAACTTTTATAAAAATATCTCTAAAGCTCATTATATAGTTTAAGTATTTTCCTTTTTAATATATACTAATAAAGTAATTTTCAGCTATATAAATTTCTCCAATATTTCTAAAAGCTTTCTTAAGTTCTTTTATATATTTCTTATAATTACTAAAGATCTTTTAAGTCTTTTTATTAACTGCTTTAGCTTTGGCTCTTAAGTAGTTATTTAAAATAAATCTAAACTACTATAGGGCTTGTTTTTTAAAGTATAAGGCAGTAAAGTAAACCTTTTTTTTAGGGGTATTAAAAGTATTCTTAAAATCTTTAAAATAAGCTTTAAGTTAAATTAAATATCCCTTAAATTTTTTAATATTTCCGTTATATATAGGCGGTAGTTAGCGCTTAATAAAGATATTAATATTTTTTTCTTTTAGTTTTTTATTAGCTTCGTTAACTTTAATAATAAATACCTTTAGGAAAGCTATAACTTACTTCTGTAATATTTTACTAATATTTCCTACGTCTTTTATAATAATATTTCCTTTATTATCTATTTAAAATCCATTAAGGCTATTAATTAAGGTGTTAGCGCTAAATGATCTAAGTATAATAGTTTCTTTTATTTAAAAGATAGTTAGTATTTTTTTAAATAAAAGTCGTTAATATATAACGTTTTAATCCCTATTCCTAATATAAGGTAAAGGTTCTTAAGGTAATAAACCTAAGTTATAAATTTATATTAATAAAGAGAATAAAGAGTAGCTTTTAAACGGTTATAATTATAAATATATAAAAGTAAAATAAAAAGTATAATTTATATTTAATTTTAATACTTTATTAATAACTAACTATTTAAATTATTTAAATAATTATAATAAAATGAACTTATATATTTAATCGTTCTTTTAAGCTTATATTATAATATCCCTTTATACTGGGTAAGCCTATAACTTTAGTGTTAAGGTTTACTTTTTAAGTTATATATACTGGAGTAAGCTTTAGAATCCTTAATTTTAATTAGTCGTTCCTTCTGTATTTTACCTAGAGGGTATGTACTTCTGTTTAGGTTATAATAATTATATAAATAAATAATATAAAGTAAATTTATATATTTAGTTATTTTTAATAATTTATAATTATAATTATAATTTAAAAAAAAAAGGATTATTATTTAAATTATAATCCGTTTATATAGTTTATAATACTAAAAGTAATTTAATATTAATTAATTAAGGTAGTTTTTTTTTATTTTAGGGTATATTTTTAATATACTTAAAGTTAAGTTATAATAGTATAATAGTTAAAATTAAAATATTATATTATTAATAAATTATATTATAGTTTATTAATATATAAGTAATAGTTAATTAGTATATAAATATTAGATATTTAAACCTATTTAGCTAAATATTTATTATTTATAAAAACTTTGTATATAAAGGTCAATCACATAGGGTTAGGGTTAGGGTACTTCGCTAATACAGTAAGCCCACCTCTTAATCACCCCTTACTTACAAGTTTCCCTCCCTCTTTATCGTAATATCGTATTTATCCCGAGCTAGGTATACCATTACGGGCGATTTGTATAGTTCAAGCTTGTTATACGTGAATAAAGCATCACTGGCTACACTAAAGTCGTCCCCACCAGTGTAGGTCATCCGCCGTCAAGGTCCAGACTAAGCCATCTCCACAACAGGAGGCTGGATCCAGAGGAGCTGGCCAGGTTGTGTGAAAGACCTACTGAAAAGAAACTCCGCCTTGTTGCCCTGCACGGCCGCAAAATCTATAGTAAGGACGTTGCTGAATTCTTTTGGAGAGATAACAGTGCCAGGCTGGAACTTGCCGGGAAGAATGTAGTACTTTGGAGCAGGATAAAACATCGTCTGAATGTTCGGGCTTGCCTTTGTGGCGAAGATAGGCACAACTGTGCTAGAATGGGGCACTTTGACGGCCACGCCCATGTATAAAAGGTTGCCTAGGATTGCAGGTATTGAACGTTAGCCGTGGGTCGCCTTAGCTATCTCTTCGATCTTCATTACATAGGCAAGCAAGGACATAGGAGAGAAAATGGTGTCTAGCCTTACTAGGATATTGATTGCTGAAGCTTGCATCTGTAAGGATGCTGAAAGCTCCATGAGCACTGACCGACTCGTCAATCAAAGTCAATGTTGCTGATCCAGAGCTATCGGCCATGGAAAGTTCAAATTTTGACCCCTTTGATCCATTTGACTCTAGCTTGGCGGACAGAGCCTTGGACACGGTGATGCACAGTCTTCCGCTGTCGTCTTCGCCTCCGGTGCCGCAAAAGGCATAATACTCGCTAGTCAGATCAAACTGAACACGACCATTTCCGTCACCAGAAACTGTTGGTGATGATTCAAGGATGGTGGTACAGGTGCTGTTTTGAGGATCATTAACGGGCGGTGAGGCAGCCTGAATGATGCTGAATGCCTGGCTGACACCAGTTTTGTTCCGAATTGCAATGGAGCGCAAAGTCATGGCTTATAGGTGTGCAAGCAGAGAGAATAGGGCTAGAGCAGTAGAAAAGGGAACTTGTGAGACGGACGCTGAACTGAGACGGGATGATGATGCTATTTCAAAAGAAGTGATTTTAAGGACATAATACTCAAGCAGTCACTAAAAAGATACAAGAATCGCATGTTGATGTTGTTGTCATGTAACTGTCCCAGTGTGGAGCCCTCCTCTCTTCCTATTTTGGATCTACCACACACCATGCATCACGGTGTGCCGCACAGATCTGGTAGCGCGAGAGAGGAGACCCTAAGCAATCTTGGGTTCACACACCCAGGTGTAAACCAAACCATAGCCACGGAGCAATTTAGGCTCGGCTGGATCCTAGCCGCGGCCTCGTCCCTGCATGGCCGGGTCTAGATCGTCTAGTGCCCGCGCCTCCCCACAAGCACCGCCACCTCATTGCATGAGTTCAGCTCGCTATAAAACATTTTATCACCTCGCTTGAGACTTCTTAACCATTCGAAGCAGCGAGCTGAATCTTAGCACTGCGATCTATCGTGTCTTCTTCCAATAACTTGGACGTAATGAGACACTAGTACATGCGTGGATGCTACTAATGCTGATACCGTGTAGGGCAGAAAGCTTCTCAGGCTCCATTTCACACAGCCTCCTGTACGAGCTTCAAAGCTGAATAGTCCCGTGACCAAAAGCCACAGAATGGCCCATATTCTGCATGAAGCCCACTAAAAGAAGAGAGGCTGACATTTTACAAGGGTCCTCCAGCCGACCACCAACTCTTGACGCGGGGTGGCATCATTTCGCACTCAGTTTGACCCGATCTGTCGCCTTCTTCTTCAGTATTGCCCACGCAAGGTTTCAGTGGCCTCTAAAGGCGATGCGATCAAGAAAAGGGGGATACCGGCGCCACCTAACTGAACTGATTGAAGACAGGCAGTTAAGCGATAGATGATGCAATTACCCATTGACATGTCTATTACTCCGGCTCTTGTCGAGTATGTAAACTAGCTAAAGTATATTGGACTGTGCCATAAGTGACCACCACGTCAATGTTCATGTCTACTACTTGGCCCAGGGCCTCTCCCTACGCTACATGAACCGCTGCAACACCTATCTTGCTCATCTTCAATTGGCGTTCAAATCATGGTGTATTAATCCATCCACGAGAGCGGCGGTCGCCAAACAAGACGATTCCACTGCACTAGGTTGGTTGTGCTACTCAGATCAGTGGACTGAGCATAGTTCTTTGGGTGCTATTTACTCACTTAGGCTTCGTTACTAAAGAGGTTGCTAGCCTCGAAGAAGACACTAGTAGCGTGTTCTTCTGGTGCAGGTGCAAAGGTGACTGGGAACGAAGGTGGCAAGGCCGACAAGTCGAGTGCAGTCGCAGGTGCGCTGTTGGACAATGCACCAACTTGCCAGGATCTCATGTCCGCCGTTACCGTGTATTTGGTAGTGGATATAACGTCCCAAGTGACGATAGGTACGACATCGTTGGGAAAATTCGGATTGACGGCGCCGATACCTGCGTACACGATGGCTGTTGTGTTTCAAGTGCATCGATATCATTAGCCGTCCGATGTGCTGATACAATAATACCGCGATATAGAGTTTGGGTAGAACATACAATCCTTGTTTGTGCCGAGTAGCTCATCGGTCAAAATTTGGAACACTCCTGGGTTTAGGTTTTCTGCCATAGTAGCGAAGCCCCTCGCCTCCATGTCCGTATCTGTGAGGATAAAAGGTTCGCTACCAGCCGGAGCGCTCAGGACACAGACGTTCTTCGCTTGTTGTCCGTTCCTGGGCCCCGTAGATACTAATTTCCAGTCACTGCCAGATGGTATAGGCCGAATTCCGCCGGTATGCCCGAGGGTCAAATCTTCGTTCGCTGACCTGCTGCCGGCGATGACGATGATGCCAGGTTGTACCTTGGGGTTAAAGTTACCCCAATTCAGCGGTGGAGCATAGGGCAGCGCGAAACGGATGGTGCCATTATCACCTTTGAGTAATTTGGAAGCTTGGAAGACCCGGATGCGCATGTTCATTTCAGCAACAGATGGGGTCTCGATTTTCGGAGTCGAGGGGTAAACGACGAATCCCTGTTTCTGCGAGGAGCGGTTGTGAACATCGAGGTACGCGAGCTGGTTCAGCCCCTCTGCGTAGACCGGTGGTTGAGAAACTTGCAGTATTGCTACATCGTTTGTGACGATGTCTCTGAGAGCCGGTAAGCACGGGGGACAACTTGACGGCACAAGTTTCCCGGAATACGGATTTTCGGGCTCCATTGCATGCGGGTGCACGAGGTGAATGGATAACAAAAAAACTGTGCCTGGAGGAACTACGAAGTATGCTCCGAAAGGTTCCTCATCGTTGGCTCGACATGGCACAAAAAAGCACGGACCACCTCGTTTGCCGCATTTGGCTTTTTGCCTGGGCCTTTGCCTGCGGGCAACGATAAGGACTGAGCACCCGATAACGTCCCCTCTACCTCGGTCAGCGGGAAGAAGGACGCCGTCTACGGGAAGAGAGGAGCGTCCAAATCTTCCGACGTGCACAACGTCCGTCTTGAAAGGACCAACTTCGCTCATTATGGCACAGCCTAGCCGCTGCCTTTTCCCTCCAGGGGGAGAACTTTGCACACCACCTGAGGTAGCTTCAATACACTCGGCCACTCCCACACAAGACATTAATGGTGCTCGGCTCGAAGGTGGGCTCCACTAAAGCACAGCCATTCGTTTGCGCGCTCATTGTCTCGGTTTGCTGGGGGTGTGTGCGTAGCAATTGCGCTAGTTTGCAAATGCCCAGGGCTAGGTACGCCACCACCAAAGACGCCTCGTAGCGTGGGGAACTTGGACCCCAGCCTCCATGGCTGGCGGCTGTTTCGTGGTGGGGCACGTGGCCTGTGCAGGGCACCGGCCGCTGCAGCCCACCTCTCTTGTCCAGCCTAGCTGGTGCCTCTTTCCAACCTTTGGACAGACACGACCGGAGATAGTTTAATACTCTCCGCCATTCTCACACATGTTTATTATGAGTATGCAGACGGAGAAGGGAAGTATACGTCGGGGAGAAAAATGGAGACGGTAGGCTCAATCTCGAGCAATCAAAAAGCGTGGCGATATTCCTTTTCTCACTTCATCGAGGTGCGCGGAGAGGTGTCACTTGGGGCATTCAATTGGATCTCATTTTTCTGCGTTCAAGGCAAGGAAGTTTGTATTTGTGGTGTGTGGTCTGAGGACAATTGCGTTGCGAAGAAACCGACGGAGGTACTTGGGCTTTGGGTAGTCTAATACTGCTCTCACAAGGATGCCGTGAGTGGGGAACATGATTGGCATAAATATCCTCCTCCCATATGCTCTGCAACTCGGGCTATTGCTCAACTAGGCAAACGACTCTGTGCTCCATACCAAGTTGGATTCCGCTAGGGCAGGGTCAATAATGTATTCATTGTGATCGTTCAACGTGAAAGTTACGTCGTTGAGCGAGATCCCGGTGAAGTCCAGGATGAGGACCTTGCCCATCTCGGTCTTCTTCACAACCGTACCTGGCTCATAATGACCAAAGGCGACATAGTATTTGACCACAGGATAAAGCACGGTAGTGACGTTTGGCTGCGCCTTGTATGTTTGGATTGGAATCACCGTTTTAGTCTTTGGGTCTGTGGCGCCAACTCCCAGATAGATGTTACCTGTTACAATGCTGGATCAGTTGCTGATCTTGGTGCATCAATCTCCTCCTCTACAAGAGAAGGGACAATGATGAAAGGAACAGCGTCTTGTGCTTACCCTTGTTCTGAACATCGAAGGTTCCGTCCGACTGGATGGTGAAGGCTCCTTGAGCAGTAGTTGTCTGTTCCGTGGCTTTGAACGTTGGGGATATGCCATCTCCGCCTATAGTGCTAAGGTGGAAGGTGGAACCGTTCACAGCACCGCTTGAGGGAGTCGACTGAAGCGTAGCCTTGGCAGAGCCTGAAGTGGAGATTTTGACCTTCTGGTCGGCGCTCGCTGTGTTGGTACCATAGATACCATAGTACTCGTTGGTGATTTGGAATGTGACCTGGTCGCTAGCGTTGCCACCAAGGGTCGGGGATCGCTGGTAGACGTTGGTAAAGACTTCGTCAGCGGGAATATTGGACGGATTCGGAAGGGCTTGGAAGAGCAAGAAGGCCTGGTTAGCCGTAGACCTGTTCTTGATGGTGATGCTGATGGTGTTAGGCATGCTGACGGTAGGGCTGGCAAGTGAGCCTTGGTAATAGAGAGGTGGTTGGTTGTGAAGAGAAGAAGGGTAGAGACGATGTGGTTGATTGGTGATTTTTAGAAGGTGACATGAAGGGAGTTCAGCCTTCTTTTATATCCATGGCCTATGAGTTGCCCAGTTGTATGCTCCTTGCTTCTTGCCCTCAACAACCCGAGCGGGAACGTTTGTTTCGTCCTGGGAAGTCGCATTCCACAACGAGTGATTCTCGGCCAATTGCCATGGAGTGCGTGGGCGTGAGACTTCGTGGAATGATGGGTCTCTCAATTTACTCCGTACTTGGACACAACCAGCGTTGAAGACGCATATGCGCATATGTGACAGCCACTCATCGTCCATAGGACAGTTGTGCTTTTCGGATAGAGGCCTAGATCCTGCATAGGCACACTCTGTGAAACACCGCTCTTGGTAGCCAGCCAGACTCCCTGCCGCCTCATTATTCCTCTGACGTGCCGTAGTGTGCACACCAGACCGTGTAGTTAACAAGAATATGATCAAAGAATTGCATCTTGGTGCGCAGACAGCCATGATCAACTCGTTTGGGGTTACTAGGCTAAATTTGCATGCAAGTCCGAGACAAAGCAATAGTTTGATGCGGGAATGCATGCATTTCAGCTACGGTGGGATACAGCCGGCCTTCCCGATGTGGAGCTCACGCTAATCCACTGTTACTCTCGCACGGCACAATGACCCTGAACTTGGGGGTGAAGCTTGGCAAGTGACAGACTACCGACCATTCACGATACCAAGCTCATCAGGCCGAGAGAGTTGTGTGTATTCGCTGTTCAGCTGTGCCCAGTGATGCAGTACCGACCTCCATTCTGAGTCTATGTCTCCAGACGTGTTGGTCAAATCACAACCGCCCGTGGGAAGAATATCTCATCACTGTTTTGGAAAGTACTATTTTGCGAAAGACATAGTCGGACCTGACCATCAATTACCCATCACCAGTGGCTCATACTTAGCCAATTCGAACCGCTATCACTCTCGAAACCTCTTCTCGTCTACCAATATGGCGGCGCTGCCATCTGAACTCCGTTCCATTACTGCGACACCTCTGATACCGATCGCGAATCGCAACGAGAGCGTGGCTCTGCAGATCAAAGTCAATACCGAAGTATGGAATGCTTCAAACCCTGCTGACAAGCTGGACGGGACCCATGGAAGCCTCAGGCCAATTGGACTGAAGCTGAAAGAGGCAGCAGTCCTGGGCATCGAAGGGGAAGCGAACTACCCGGAAAATTGGCCTGCCTTCACACAGAGCAAGTGTGTGATCATTGGCAGCATTCAAGATGCTAACTCGGCCAAGGTTGATGTCTTGAAAGGAGTATGGGAGGAAACAAAGCTTGTAGATCCAGCACCTCGCCAAGCACAACTACTCAAGGCTGGCTTCAAGACCAATCTCGAGGTTATCGATCCACTGGGATCGGGAGATGACGCTCCAAGTATACCATGGGGCTTCTCTGGCGATGTCGAATGGCGCATTGAGACGCTGACCGAACCCAGTAAGCTCTTACTCCCCCTTCCACGTATTTGTCTCCAACATTTTCATCAATGAGGGATATGAGACTAGTTGTCTGATTTATTTCCGTTTCTCAATAGAACAGACCCTCACCGTCAAAGACAAATCACGTCTTGAGATCTATAAACTGGCAGGAATAGCAGTTGGTGGGCCGACAGAAGCCTTGGACCCCCGGGCTACACTACCGAACCTGCAGGGCAAATGGCCAGTCAACTTACTCCGAGTGTTTATGCCCAATCCGACCGATATTGCCGGTAAAGCAGCCGAGATCAATGCCAACAGAATCTCATGGTGGGCGAAGCTCGTCATTGGCAAACTTTCTGCAATGAAAGTCTTGTACGATGCAGCAGAGGGGAGATCCAGCTACGGGATCAGTCTTCTCGGAGGCAGTCTCGATGTCAATCAGTTCTACGACAGTTTGAAATTGACTTTGAACTCCTTTGATTTGACTTGTATGCTTGAAGCGGCATTTCAGATCCTCCTTCCTACGTATGCCGCAGGGGAAGCCCCCAGGATCAAGTGGGTCGGGTTGACGCCTTGCGGGGCAATTGCGGATAAGGCAAGCTATTCAATGGTGCCGATGGGATGGGATAGCGACGCAGCAGTCACTCAAGGGTTGGCCACCCCGTTCTTCAAAGGCGCACTTGGTAAGTCCAAAGAAGGTGTGCTTAAAGGCACAATGACACCGCAATTCCAGTCAACTGACAGAAAGCAACGTGTCATAGGTCCAGACGAACAAGATGGTTGGCTGGCAACAAATGCGTGGCTAGAAATTGAGACAGATGTAACCGCGGGAGCTTCTGTTGTCCAAGCAGCATTCAGCACCAAGGAAAAGGACGAAGCTCAACCACGTCCAGACACTGCAGACATCAAAAGGCCCGAGTTCCTCAAAAGGCACTTCAAGGATACCGACGAGCTCAGTCGGCACGCCGAATTCTTCTGTATGTACCTACTTCAACAATTTCTAATCAGAATTGTGACCTGGCTAACGAATGCCACCTACCAACAGTTGATTCGACTAGTACTGCTCTCGTCAAAAACGCAGATGCGATTGGCAATAGCTTAAATCGGAAGGCAGGCCTTTACAATCTTAGAGGTGTGAATGAGCCGTGGCCATGGAGCTTTCAAGCTGGGGGGACGAAGCCGCCGCCGGTGCCGTTGGTAGAGTCACTCAGCCTTGAAATCAGCAAAATTCTCAATGCCCCGGGCACGAAGAATAGCGCAAGCACCGCGAAGAATCTTAACATGATCAGCGCCGGTGCCCTCAGGCCCTCCCGCATTTATCCTCGTCTCAAGTCCAATACGCCCTACAAAGGAGACACGGACTATTTCCGTCTCGTGGTAGCTCGTGGAGTATCTGTTGCAACCTACGTTGTGCCCTTGGGTGGCGTCCCTAATGTCAATACCAGAGTCAAAGTAAGTTCTCCTAATAATAACCAGAACCAGAACTCCTTGTACCAATGACTATAACAGATCTCTACCTTTGAGAGTTTCTCCAACGCCTTCGACGGTCTGATCAACGAGCTTGCCGGATTCGAGAGCAATCTTGGAAAGGTCATTGTCCCCAACGATCCACAGAAGCAATACGGCAATTACATGATCCACACAAAGCGTAGCCTCATCTTTGTGCGCAACAACCTCCTCGTCGACTTGACGATCTTGGGGACTGATAGTTATGGCAACACGGCCGCTACAGCCGCCTTACTCCCACTCGCTGAGGCGCTCGATTCCTATCTCACAGCGAGTACCGTTCCCCTCGCCCAGCTGCGCAAGACTGCCTTCACCATCACCAACCCACCACCGCCACCAACTGGGCAACCGCCCACGACCCAAGTCGAGATCGACAAGCCTTTCCAGGTCACCCTGGCCAACGCGGACATGCTCGCAGAGGAGTTGGGCGTGTCTGTCTATTCCGGGCAGAGCAATGTCGCGCAACCCATTATTTTCACCTCTGCAGGACCCCTCGTCGCCGATGCCGCTTTCAGCACGTCTACTCGTGTCCTGGAATTCCTTCCCTTGCAGCGGCAAGCGGCGATGCCAGGTCAGCCTGTCGATATTGCAGTGTCGGGTGCGCACTATGATACTTTCTACCCAGTCACCCGGTTCACCAAGGTTGCGATTCAGTAATGACGTTGGGCGGGCAAGACTAGATGTTCAGATAGCCAATTGTCTCATATCCAATCCTTTCTTTTCTTTTCCCTTAGCTTCAGTTTGGATTTCCCCGCGTTCTTTTGCAATTTTAGCTATTATTACGCAACTGCACGGCGAATGTCGCAGAAGGAATTGCCTTGGCTTACTCTAGCAAATCTGAGTCAAGCATCGTGATTGAGCGTTTTTGTCTTGACTGCCCCGTCATCCTCCTTCGGCAATTCTTCTCACTTGAAGCTGTATGCATTCTCACAGGTAGAAGTGCATGCGGTGCGCAGCTCGACGCCACGCCAAGCATGGAGCAGAGGGGGATTTGTGATTAGTGTGACCACACGTCCCAATATCCCCTCGCGCGGACGGGCCTGCCCCATGCATCACTAGAATGATGCAAGAGACAGAAATGCAGTCGATACAAGAGCTGAACCCCCCCGGGTCATTCTAAAAGTGGAGTGGGCAAGGGGTGCGGCCCAACCGCTGCGGGATACTCCTTAGTTCAAAACTTGGAGTAGCTGGTGGCGAGCTGAAGACATGGACGGCTGGTGCTGTGCCTTTCATATGGCTTTGCATAGTGAGACCTTTGGCTCAGGTACTGCGGAGAGGGTCTAATGGGACTATCGATTCAAACCACACGGCAGTGATAGTTGCATTGAGGTTGCCAAGGTTTGGTGCCGGCCGCGCTATGCCAACTGTGGAATCGAGGGGGTCTGCGGGGAAATGGGGGGCTTCAGCCAGCCACAGCTGACCTCCAAGACCCCAAGTCTAACGCTCATGCTGGGGTATTTCAAAATGGCAAAGTCCATGTGTCTCGACTCGCTTGTTTTTGCCATTCTCGCCATTCATGGTCCCTTTCAGCTCAGCCATATCGCCGCATTGGGAGAATAGCATATGAATGAGGTAAGGGCAACAAGGGCGACAAGGGCTTGCGTCAGTACGCTATACAAAGTGTACAAAGGCTAGCGGTGAATTTGATTGTACCATGTGGCTGCTTGCCGCCCAAGCTTCTGAGGAGAATGGGGGTAATCTACAGCTTGCCCAGGATCGCTCATGCGGCGTGATCTAGAATCAGTGGTAGTTCCGTGATTCAGCTTCAAACCATTTCAGCAACATTCCCACTAATGCTGCAATCCGAGTATGTCGGAACTCTATTGCATGTGTCTTTGGGTCTAGATTCCTCCATCTATCAATGACAGGCGTCTAAAGATCAGCCCCAAGTAGAGCCACCAATCAATTGTTACTCCTTTGCCACGTACACTTTGAGTGCTGATACATTAGACCGTGATATGGCTTCATGTGCATGCTTTCAGCTCGCCACATTCACATTGTGAGACCCGAAAACGAGTCGGACCTATGGTCTGATTGAGCTTGAGTGCGTTCAGCTTGATGGCAAGACTCCAGTTATGCCCTTTACATCCAAGCGCGTGGCTTGGGTCGGCTTGCCCCAGGTCGTGAATCTCCTTCGTAGCTTTGCATTTGTAAGAGAGGGGTAATGTGGTCGCAAAGCTCCTGCCAGAGAGGCAGAGAGGGATTGAGGCATGGGCAGTGTCGGAGATCAAGATTGGGGTAGGTGCAGGTGAGTGATCGATAGAGTAGCCTTTGCCAAATGTGGTACGCGAGATAAGCTATCTAATGCAGCTATCGGCTTGGTGCTCGGATACGTTTGTCCTCTGCTTCGCCTCTTTTGACACCACAACTCTGCATTATGGTGGAAGATATCCTGAAACTACAAAGTTAACACTATTTTGAAAAACAATCTACCTTCAACCGCTCTTATTCGTACTTGCTCGTGGTCCACTATCTGCGTTCCATCTGAAAGAATACAGCCCAATCCATCATCATCCCTAGCACCATACCATGACGACGTCACCCCAACCCGTCGAAGTCCAAATCCACGGCAACAGCTTAACCCTTCGGGGTGACAGTCTGCTACCTCCCAAAGGAACACCAACGCTCAGGGCATCACGGTCTGCTATATCCGCCGAATCCGGGCTTCGAGTCCCAGAACGTGATACTGGGGCAGCCGCCGCGGAGGAAGAGGGCCCGGCAGAATCAAAGGACGCGGGTGGGCAGGAGGCCGACGAATACATTCTCGTCACGTTGTCCAATGCATCGCAGGACACGCACAACGAAATCAAAGCTACCGGTGCTGCTGTATTGACTTACATTGACGACGGCGTTTACCTGTACAAGAGAAGCCTGACCAGCAGCATCAGCGATATCCAGAACATCCGGGGAGTTCGCTACATCGACGTGTATCCTCCCAGCGTGAAGGTGGACGGTGACCTCCTAGCACATACTGGCGCGTCAAGACCTTCGGATGCATCGGGGGCAGCTCCTAAACCATCCGTTACTCCTGGAGAAGCCGCTCCTACACCTGCTGGTGCTGCGGCTGTTCCGGTGGAAGCGGTGGCGGACGAAGAGGCATCAGCGGAGCCCTTGACATCGACAATAGCGCCTGCCGGGGCAAAAGACAAGGTGGCAATCGAAATCCACTTTCACGAAGGCCTTTCTGAGTCAGATATTCAGAGGACTGTTGACAAACTTGCATCTACCGGCCTGCTGGAGGCCGGTTCTGTTGAGGTCTTCACTTTGACGGCCACAGCGGAGACAACGGCCGACAAGCTGGACCAGATTGCTAAAGCTCCTGAGGTCTATGTCATCCGGGAGAGGCCGGAATACGGTCTCAACAACAACTTTGCGACTGATGTCCTTATGGTGGCTGGCCCCGTCCTGGCCGAAGCTGGCTATTCTGCTGCGCCATTGCCGTACGATGGCGCCGGTGAGACCATCTCCATCTCTGATTCGGGGTTTGATCGGGGCTCCTCCGTGGCCATCTTGGACGATCTTTCAGACTTACATACAGCCTTCACCAGCCGGCCTGACGGATACAAGTTCTTCTGCTTGCATAAAGCACACAAGCCAGGCCCTGCGAGCGCACCAGTCACCGCAAGCTGTATCAAAGACCTCCACGGACATGGCACACATGTTTGCGGATCTGCACTCGGCTCGGCACAACAGTCATCACTCGCGGCTCCCGGCAACGCCGGGTACATCCGGGGGTCAGCACCTGGATCACGGCTGCTGTTTTCTACCGTTTTCCCTCATCCGCCTGCTGGGAAGTTGATGGGGCGCTTCTTCGGGGGTACAATCAAGGACATATACGACAGATCGCTGAGTCATATGGCTTCGGGTTTGCCAAGGCCCATCTTCAGTGAGTCCTGGGGCTACGATCACGACAACAAGACTGGGCCTAAGCCGGGCTACGGGCCTACTGAAACCGTCTTCGACTCGTTCTTACGAACGGAGAACACGCTCGTGTGTTTTGCGGCCGGCAACGACGGGGACGCCACCAAATATGTCGGCATCGTCGGGACCGAGGGCGCAGCCAAGAATGTCCTGACTGTCGGCGCCTGCGAGTCGCCCACGTCGGTGTGGACGCAGGCATACGCAGACGTGACGTCCAATGCCGCCAATCAGCCGGTGGACAAGGCTGTCCCCGGTGATCCGACCATTGTCTGCGACTTCAGCTGCGCCGGCACGAAGGAGGTCCGGCAGAAGCCCGACGTTGTGGCCCCGGGCAAGGAAATCCTCTCGGCAGCATCCCGTGACTGCTCAGAGCCCACACACCCGAATGACAAGATGTACTGCTTCATGACGGGCACCAGCATGGCAACGCCCCTTGTCGCCGGCTGCGCGGCTGTGCTCAGCCAGGCTCTGCGGGCTCGGGACCCGGCTTACAGGAACGCTGGTCACAACGGCGTGTTGCTCAAGGCACTGCTCATCAATGGTGCCGTTCCGATGCCCGACCCTGCGGACCCGGATCCTCAGATCGAGACGGGCAAGAACCGTCGAGGAGGTTTTGGACGTGTCAACCTGCTGTGCTCGCTTAGTCATCTGAGCGATCCGAAACGACCCGAACCTACATATTTCGTGGGCAACTTTGGTCTCAAGGGCTTCGAGGACAAGAGATTCACTGTTCCCAAACCGGTGGGCACCTCGGGGAGTCTCATTGCCGATGTAAATCTTGCAACCATCAAGGTCACGCTGGTCTGGGCTGACGAAGGTAATGCGAAGCTGCAATGCCTCACGTACGTTTCCCTCACCCAGGAAGCCACGGGGAACGTCTGGTTCGGCAATCGTCGGGGTTGGGTCCAAAAGTCCAGCGTCGACTCGGCAGTGAAGCGCGAGGGCTATGCCGACAAGATCAATAACGTCCAGCAGATCTACTGCACCAATGTGCCGGAGGGTGATTACAAGATCAATGTCCACTATTACAAGGACATTTCTGGTAAAGCGCCTCCCATTCCATGGGCGGTTGCGTGGTTGGTTCTTTGAGCCTTCGCGGGGATACTTGCAATTTTGTTAGGAATCTTTCTACTGGCCAGCGTTGATTAACCAGCGCTGGACTTGTTTATACCGTAAAAGGGTAGGAAAACATCTGTTCTAATTCATCTCTAATAGTATCTTCTAAAGTACGTGTTTATTTGTCAACGTTGGAGAGACACCTGGCCACTCTCCATCAACGGCCAACGACTTGGTGGCCTGCCCCATTTGCCCGTTTGTATCGGAAGACAATGTCTTCCGTTTCGTTCTTTCTTGTCCTTTTCTATTGATAACTTCGTCACACCTATGGAGGCAGATGTTCTATTTCCACATAACCGTCTCCGAGCCAGGAATAGGAACACAGGCCGCCGCCTGGACTGTGTTGCAGGACGGGCACTTTGCCCTTAGCTAGTACGAAACAGCCATGTGATTTAGTTTACCTTTTGGATATAATTATCGCAAAATGGAATTCTTCTATGCATCTTCCCCAAACTCCTCTTACTTGCAAATTCGAATTGACCAATGGAGCCGCCATCTCCGATCCCACTGTCCAGCCAGCTAACACCTTTGCCTGTGGTACGAATGCAGAGATTGACATCACCAGCAGCTATGCAGCTGCCCTCGGCAACATACGTAAGACGCGATTCCATAAACCCAACTGGAGAGGAAACACGCCCGCCTCTTCTATCTCTGTTTCCTCCCATCTCGCCACCGCCTTTCAGAAACAAGCAGCGAATAAACCACGGTTGCAATACCAACAGCAACGAGGGAACGGCGAATAGTGGTACAAGCTTCGTATGTGAACTTGAGACAGACAGCCGCATAGAAGAAGCAATGGCCAGCGCTATATGTGACGGCTCTTTTATAGACGTAGATGATGATTTGTGCAAGCCAGGCACTGCCCGCCTGGATCGAGGGAACATGACCACCGCCGCCTCAGAGTCTGGTATCGAGCCACTTGCATCGGTTCACGCCAATTTTAAGCGCAAGTCTGCTTCTTCAGATAGTAGCAAACCCCCAAAACCATCAGCATATCAAGCTGCTTGGACAGGTACTTATTACAGACATGTGGCTAATACATGTACTTATGGACTGGCTAAACTTCATCAGGATAAACCAATCCCTCCGAGAGCGATAAATTACATTGTTTAGTAGCAAGAGAAGACGCTTGATGAAGAAAAGGGTACTAGGTAAATAGCAAGCGGGTTATAGTTCTAGCCATTTACTATAGCATTAATGAAAATGTCTTGTATTTCTTACTCCTTCTGATCATCGTTTATAACAACTGCTGCTATCTACATGTAACTGGCCACAATATGCAGATAATCAGCGTAAATTCGTTCTGCTTTTATTCGTGCTTGCTCGTCTACTGTTATTCTCGCAGATGTCAGAACACCTGCCCGGCATATCGAAACCGTATATGTAAACAATTGAGCCGCTGCAGTTAAAACAGGCACCGCTGTTACTTAGGTAATGCTAGCCGCGTCGGCATACGATTGAGTCTTTGTTGACGTTTCGTTGGTAACATCTTACGCACGCATATAAGATTTCCAGCATTTACCTCTTAGGAATTATAATAACACAGATATTTTCGCGTCGAAAATGTTCTTCCCATATTACAATCTTAATATCATATTCCTAAATCATATCCAGTTCTTCCTTAGCATTATACACCGGCAAAGGAAAAAACAGATCCTTAAGATCTGCCCAAAACCAGAGTGTTTGTTTGTTTGTTTGTTTGTTTGTTTGTTTATTATTAACGACCACTATATAGTATATACAAAATCCTTTTCTGGGTATAAGGTTGGTAGGAGCTGCTTAGCGTCAGATCCTGCGTTCGCTATATATCTTCTTTATAAAGGAAAGTTTTATTATTTTATAAAAGGCGTATTATTCTAGGGGCCTGTATAGGCTAGTGTTTTTTATAAGTATTTAGAATTCTTTATATCCTTTGGGTTTTAGTAAGTAGTTTAAGTATCTAATGCCTATTAGGTACTTTAAGCTTCCCTCCTATACCTACAGGTACCCTACCTTTTAAATACCCCTTTATTAAAAACCTTACCTCGTTTAACTAATTATTAAATAAAACATCCTTTATATTTACATTTACTACCTTTATTAAAGATCTTAAAATAATAATAATCTTTATTAATTTTTAAAAAATTTAATTAAAAAACTCTTTTATTACTATTAAATAAATAACTTTTAATAAATAATAAAAAAAAACTATTTTTTTTATTTTAAAAAAAAATAAAATAATTATTTTTATTTTTATTTTTAAAAAAAAATAATATTTTAATAATAAATTTATAATAAATAATATATTAATATTTTAATTAAATAAAAATAAAATAATTTTTTTTTAATTTATATAAAAATTATTAAAAAAATTTAATTTTTTTTTTAAATAATATTAA